GCGCGGCAGCATCGAAAACCTGGGCGGGCGCGCCTCTGGGCAGACCACGCGAAGCTGAGCCGCTGGACCTGGCCGCGCCACGTTGCGTGCAGCGGTCGCGCCCTGCCCTATGAGCAGCGACGTACGAACGCGCCGACGGCGCCGCGATGTGCACGCGCGGCCGCGACGCGGGCGAGGGGCGACCCCCTCGCCTGTCAGACATGGCCGGCGCGCCCTGACCGACGAGAGAAAACGCGCAGCACTCGCGCCCGGCGCCCGAGCTGGCCATGGCCAGCGGCGAGGCAACCACGAGCTCGTGTCGAACCGCGCGTCGCCGAATGCAGGAGGAAGCCACTCCGCTTCACGCGGCGCACCAGGGCATGCGACTCGCGCGAGGGCAACATGGCGAGCGACATTGGTCGCCGACGCCACGTGGTGAACGTCTAAGTCAGAGTTTGCACGCGGCCCCATGCGCCAGATTACATGAACCAAGCAAGTGTGGTCGACCTGTTTTGCGGCACCGGACCGAACCGAGCACGCGCTGTCTGCGCTATCGGATAAGATGTTCATGCGTCGGCCAGACAGGGGCGACTCGAAAGTGGCCGGGCCCAACGCGAATGCCACGCACCTCCAGCCCCTCGATTAGATCGTCGCGCCTCTCCTAAAGAGCCGGGGCAGGGGCTCAGGGAGGGCGACACCAGTGAAGACTATGACCCCGTCAACGCAGAGGACCGCGGCAAGCCTGGGCGGGTGGCCCAGCGCGTCGGATGGAAACTGCGCCAAAACCGGCGCCTGGCGCCTGTCGATCACGCGCCGTGGCGGAATTGCTGGACAGCGCTTTCTGCCACCACTGCAGACGGACTCGCGCCTGCGCCGGGGCGCTCGGACGGCGCGCCCGCGCGCGCTCGAAGGACGGCGGGGGCAGCGCCCGCCCAAACCGCCCGAAGGCGTTGGGCGCGGCCCACCAGAGGCGGGCTGCCAGCTTCGACGCGCGCCCGCGAGAGAGCGCGCCCGTTGCGACGTCGGCTCGCCACCGGGCGCGCCCGCCCGGAGGCGGCGGCCAACTCGCGCGGGGCCTCGTCAATCCCCGCAGGCAAGCCTGTAGGACGTCCGGGGGGCTGCCGAACTGCGGCTCACCGTCGGAAGCAAAGCGCGGGCTGAGCATGACCCTTACGGGCTCGGCGGACGGGCACACTGAAACGCACGGCCCTCTCCTCCGTTCAGGGCAGAAGAAGTCGCCCGCATCATGAAGGGAGGGGATGCGCGGGCCAGCGTGGCCAGCACGATCAGCCCAACAGAATGGGACCGCGGCCCAGCGTGGCTAGGATAGCGCCGACGCGCTCTTAACTGCGAGCGGAGGATGTCACTGAGAAGAGGGCGGCGAAGCGCTCAGCCACGTGGAGGCATGCGCCCACGAGGAAGGCAATCCACGCAAAGGCACTGCATTTAGGCACCAGCGGGACGCGCCAGAACGCGGCGTCGAGATCCGCCTTCGAGAGAAGGGGCGCGTCGCCCACAAGCGCCGCGAAGGCTTTGCATGGCGTCGCTCCTTCGGCTGCGGCGCGATTTGACATAATTCGACACATCACCTACAAGCCGCAGCCTTTCGGACCGGTCCTCTCCCATTTGCCCCCCGCCGAAACGCGGCGTCAAAACGGGACCATCGAGTTCGACCGCGCTGATCGGCACGGGTTGGCCCATTCGGCCCAGCTCCGCTTCGCATGGTTACTCTGTGGCCCCAACAGCATATGGCCTCTATGGACTGGGGGGTGGCCTCACTGGGCACGTCGTCGCTACGGACCAGAGGAAACCCGCATGAATCTGCCGGGTGGCCACGTGGTCACTATGGACCAGCAAGGGAAATCACATGGCCACAATGGCCCTCTGCCAGCGACAGCAAGTGGTCACTGTCACAAATGGACCCAAGGAGAAGGCCCCTTTGGGTCAGCGAGTGCAGCAGGCAACTTTGGGCCGCAAGGAAAACACCACGGGCCGAACGAAGCCCCAGCGGGCGGTGGGTCGAACCCCGAGTCATGGCACGGAATTTTTGTTCCGCCCCAGTACAGTGCAGGCCAGTCCACAAGAGACCTTCCACAAGAAACCCAACACTGAGACCCCAGGACGTCCATCGATTTCTGGTGTGGGAGCGTCACGCTCTCCATCGCAAAACATCGAAACCCAAGAACCCAGGGCACCCTGGATGGAGGGCTGAGAATCCACCCCGAGAATAACCACCCCGACACGCGAAGCCGTTTGGCAAACGCGCCCAAAAGGAGGAATCGAACAGGGCAGGGCTGCTTCGTAAACGCCCGGGGCCGCTTCGTAAACGCCGGTTGCCCGGTCTGGGTGGCTGGTCCAGCCTTGACTGACGACCTACCAGACCACCCCAAACCCCCCCTCTGGAAATCGAGGGTAAATTTGAGCCTTCGTGTTGGGTTGGGGTGGTTTGGTGGGTGGTGATTGACTGGAGGCAGGCAGGGCGCCTCTCGGCAGGGCCCCCATCGCACCAGGCGGAAGAGGCACGGCACGGCCCCACCCCGCACGGCGCGAGCGAGAGACGGAAGCGGGCCGGCCGGCGCGCGGCCGACCAGCCGAGCGAGGGCGCCCCCGCGGCCAACCGCGGCGTCGCTCCCAGCGCTGGCGTCGCCGCTCCCAGAGCCAGGACTTCGCTCGCCGTCCCGGAGAAGAAACTGGCAACCAACTACGCGTACTTTTAAGTCGGGCATGTCCTCTCCTGCATGCAGATTTGGGACGGAACATCAAAAATCAGTCAAAGCATGCGCAAGCATATCCAGCAATGATACAAACAAACATGGTCCCCAGACTATAGTCTAAACCATTTTTGGAGATTCCTCCTGCAGAGGGACGTGCCCGACTTGAGCGTACCTTTTGGGGAGCCCTCCCGGCCATTTTGCAAGGTGTTGGGGCGGTGTGGGGCCGTGCTGGGGCCCCCTCATGTCTTCCCGAGACCACTGTCGGAGGCCTGGAAATGGGCACCAACACCAACACAGGGGGTTGCCTCCACACGGGGAAGATGATCCTAGATTTCGGTGCTGGTGGTAGTATTTCGGCCACCTTGGAAGCCAGAATACTACCACCATCACCGAGATCGGGATCTTCTTCCCTCGATGGAGGCACACCGCCGATATTGGTGTTGGTGTCAACCCCTAGGCCTGCGACTCTGGGAGCCACTAGGATGGGGAAGCGGCGATCCTCGACCAGCCCCCGGGAAGTTCAACGCTTCTGGCCTCCCAGGGCCTCGGTGGAGGGCCCGCGCGGCGCGCCGCCTGGGCCTCTCCTGGCGTCTTTTCGAGGGGCCTGCGGGGGCCTCGAGAAGACTGCGTCGGCTTCTCGGGGTCTCTGACATCACATCAGACCCATAGCTGCGACTGAAAAACTATTCGCACTGTAAATATGTTACAAGAGATGATGTTCGTTTCCTCAGTTGAATTCGAGACTTAGGCCAGCTACGAAGCTGAGATGCACACCCATCGACAGGGAATGCTGAGAAGCACCAGTCTAAAGTATGTAGACGCCTGAGATCAGTCTGCTACCAGAGCTGCGAGCAAATAATGGTTTGCACTCGTTCATGTTTATGAGAGACGGTGTTAGTTTCTGTACTTAATTCGAATTATAGGCAAGCTAGGGAGCTGGGAAGCACACCGCTCAACAGGAAATCATGAGAGACAGTCGCCTACAGTATCGAGACGTCTGAGATTGGTCTGCGACCACCGGAACCGCACGTGGAGAGTTGCCCGGTGGGGGATATTCTGACCCAGGTCAATCCAGACCCAGGTCAGCAGGAAACCAAAAAGCTGCAATGCAGGAAAGAAACACTGCAGCGCAGGGCTTCGCAAACCCGGGTCAGCCAATATGCGCGGCAGCCTCGCGGCCACGAGCGGCTCGCTGACCTGGGTCAGCCAGAAGGGGTCTTCGCAGGATCCTGCAGGACCTGGCGCTCTGGCTGACCCCCGTTTGCATGGACCCCCGTCTCGAGGCTCCCGACCCGGGCCTTCTGGGGCACCTCCTGCCGCCATTCTTCGCCACTGTTTGATTGATCCCTGGGGTATCCAGGAGCTCCCTGTGGGGCCTGGCACACGGGGTGCCAAGCGCCTTTGGACATCTTGCACTGTGTGATATATGCATATGCGTTGCATTGTATCTTCCCACGCACAACAACGGGGGTCGGCATTCACCGAGACTGCGGAATTGACGTGTGAGGTGGCCACGAATACGTAAAGAGGCACAGGCGGTGAGATGGAGCACAGAAGCCGTAGCGAAGGCAAGCAGAAGAATACGACGTTGAGAAAGGGATGCCAGTCGCAGGAGGAGGAGGAGGAGGAGGAGGAGGAGGAGGAGGAGGAGGAGGGGGAGGGGGAGGAGGAGGAGGAGGAGGAGGAGGAGGAGGAGGAGGAGGGAGGAGGAGGAGGAGGAGGAGGAGGAGGAGGAGGAGGAGGAGGGAGGGGGACGGAAGAGAGAGAGGGAGAGAGAGATTTGGAGCAAGAGATAGGCAAAAAGACTGGAACTGACGGGAGCGGCGCAGACAGAAATGAGCGCAGGGAGAAGGAGAGAGGAGGGAGCAAGAGAGAGGGAGGGAAACAGGACACGAGGGAAGAAAGGAAGGGGAAGCGAAGAGCGCGGGGAAGAAAAGGAACCCAGGAAAACGAGGAAAGGGAAACATTGGATACACGATGCGCAGTGGCGGGGAGCTAAGACTACATTGAAATGCAACAAACTATGAAGGCAGGAGGGCGATGCCATAGCAAGAGCGCACGCCAAAGTTCGGCCCCCACTCTGAACTTGCAAAGGTGATCCTCTCCACCAAACAGGCATGGAAACGATGCGAGGGCGAATGCCTTGGAGAGCTCGTACTCGTCGTGATAGTGTATCCTCACTCCCCCGAGCTGTGCAAAGGGTGCTGCAAGGAGTGCAGACGCGAGCCAGTACGAGCATATGCCTGGTGAGCAGACCACACAGACCGAACCATGGATGCAAGCATTTGCTTCAGATGGCTACTACCGAAGCCGTGAGGAAGTGCAGCGGCCAACAGCTTTAGAGGCACAGATCCTACTAGCCCTCTGGGCTGCGGTGCCCTAGGGCGCGTCCTCCTTCCAACCCCGTTCTTCCTGCCAAGAGGCTCCGATGTCGAAAGATCCGAGAAGACATTCACAGTTGACTCCTGGGGCCGCTCAGGCTGATCTCCAGCTTCGGTTTCACGGCTGCCCCCCCCTGTTGGCTCCACTGCCTGCTCTCGCACCTCCCGGATCAGTGCAGCTTTTGCCCTGGCACCGTTTCTGAATGGGTTGGAGATACTCGGAGGCCTGGAAATGGGCACCAACACCAACACAGGGGGTGTGCCTCCACAGGGGGAAGATGATCCTAGATTTCGGTGCTGGTGGTAATATTTCGGTCACCTTGGAAGCCAGAATATTACCACCATCACCGAGATCGGGATCGTCTGCCCTCGGTGGAGGCACACCGCCGATCTTGGTGTTGGTGTCAACCTCTAGGCCTGCGAGATACGGGAAGCGCCAATACTCATGTGTTGTCATTTCAGGCTCAGTTCTTTTCAGACTGTGAGTGCTCCTGCCCTCACCATACCGTATCTCGGCGACGAGCCTGGGGGGAACTTGAAAGGGGCCAACCTTCTCAGAAGGCGGCGGGGCTTCTCGGAAGGCCTCGGGCCTTCAGAGAAATGTTCTGAGCCTTCCCCGACGGCACAGACATGTTTCAGTCACCCTTCTGAGAAAGCCTGCTCCTCCTCACTTCATCCCCTGATGCACCGCAGGCACAAAAATTGTTCACACAGCCCGAAGGCTTCTTAGAAGCCCCGCCGACTTATCAGAAAGCATGCTCCTCTGCACTTCGCCCCAAGGCTCGCCGCTGAGTTTAGACGAAGCCAGGTCGAGGTAAAATTGGGTGAGGATACGCTCATCTCGTATACTAAGGATGCGCGATAAGGATGCAAGAACCTTTGAAAGGCAATGTCAACCCTGTGCGAGCGGGGCGCGGCCAGCCGGAGCGAAGGATGGGCCTAAGGGGAAGGATGCAAGGGTAACCTTGGGAAGTTGCCCTTCCTTACTGCGCGGGTTGACTGCAGATCGAGAATCTCTGAGATCCCACGGTTCTGCAAGATGTATCGGGCGCAGCGGCCTTCTCAGAGCGTGCCAGAACGCTCTGAGAGCGTTAGGGGACGCTCTGGAACGGATTCATCCTCGCCCTAGCCCCTTCCGACGAGCACCATCGTGAACGTTCTTTTACTCGGCGTTTCGACAATGGGCGGCAGGGGGGGGGAGGTGGGGGGGGTCTGGCTACGGACCTCTGCTCAGTGCGACTGTTTGGGGCCGTGCGTCCTGTGGGGGAGACTCCACCTGCTCGCAACAGGCGCCAGCAAAACACGGGGGAGGGGGAGGGGGGCGAGGGACCGCGCCGATCGGCAAAACAATGAAGAAAACGATCACCATTGTCGCGTATGCTCGCACTCTGGCGGCGCGCAGGAGGGGCCGAAAAAAGGCTGGCACCCGGGACGTCGTCCAAGAGAGGCCACCGCCTCTCGAGGAGCGCCCGGAAGGCTTGGCCCCCAAAGGGGCCACACCCCGCCTAAGGAGACGACCTGCCGTCTGCGAGGGCTGCCCGCCCATGTCATGGCCCCGAATGGTTGCAACCCGTCATCGATTCCGTGCGTGTTGTTGTTGATGATCGTTTTCTCACTCTCTGTCTCTCTCTCTCTCTCTCTCTCAGTAGCTAATAATGTGTATACGTACATAGATATAGGACGCAGCTTACTCCCTCATCATACCTCTACCTCTCTCTCTGTCTTGCTCTCTCCCCGTCTTTCCGCCCCCATATCCCTGCCCCTGTCCCACCAGCGCATCCGCGCACGCCGTGCATAGCCGTGCCTGTTCTGCCATGCAACACACGGGGCCTGAGGGAGACAGGTCCTGGATGAAGGGGCCCTGGGACACACAAAGAAATACACACACAAATAACCTGATTCCCAATGCTTTCACATATTTTCTGGGTTTTTGCCTTCCCCCCCCCCACTTGCCATAATTTCCTATATGTTCTCCACATGTTCGAGGGAATCGACGATTCATTGTGTCTGTGTGTTTTTGTTCCCTCCTGACTGGACCCCGGGCATTCGCATTTCTCGGCGGTGGACAGACCTCCCTTTAGTAAACCTCCCCTTAGCGAAAACGGCCTGGGACCGAAACCGACGGACCCGGACCCGCAAAAATGACGGCCGCGACGCCCTCTCGCGAGCTGAAAACGGCCCATTCGCTGATCGACGTGTCAGGGTAGGAGGTCTGTCAACCTCCGAATTTCACCCTGGCCCGTTCTCTGCCGTCCCGGGACCCCGCCGCGGGCCCCGACACGAGCCCGCGCGCGGCGAGGAGAAGACCCCGCCACGGGCCCCCGCCTCCGCTGCCGCCCCCCCGAAAGCGAGCCACGCGCGCGTCCAAACTCAGCCGCGGCCCCTCGCGGCTGCGCCGCGCCCCCTGGCCGCGGCCCCTCGCGGCTGCGGGGCCCCTGCCCGCGAGGGCCCCGCGCGGCCCGCGGCCCCGCGCGGCCCGCGTGCCCACGGGAGCGCGCCCCCGGATCTCCTCAGACCGCCAGGGCGGGATGCACGCCGGTCGGGAGGAGCGGGTAAAAAAGCACGAAGCAGGAAGGCGGATCAAGTAGATTGGGTCCAGGTCCTCCCAGAGAGTAGCAAAGCACAGCAAAGGCATGCCGGTTCTTGAAGTCGGAAGGCGCTTGGAGCAGAGTGGGATCTGGGAATCCAGAAATACCTACTTTCAACGACTGGCGTGTATGCGCTCGCCGCCCGTGCGCCCCCCACCGCGCCCCGCCTGCTCGAGCGCTTGTAGTACGCCCCGTACTTCGCGCTGAACACGTAGTCCGCCGGGCCACCGCCCGAGGCCGGCCCGCGTGCCGCGCAGGGAGGCGGGCCCCGCGCCGCTCTTGCGGGCGCGGGGGCCGCGCGGCACGACGGGGGGAGTGCGGCCGGGGGGAAGGGTGCAGTGGAGGCCAGCCCACCAGAGCCCTCTCACGCGACGCCCGAACCCTGAGACCCCAGGACGTCCATTGATCGGGTCGGGCGAAAGGGGGGGATAGCAGAGGGGGGGTTTGAGAATCAGCTCACGTAGCTGATTTTCCTGGCGCCTCCCGGCGCAGGAGGCGGCCATGTATCGAGGGATGGGCCCCTCGGCGAGGCCGAAACCAGCTGCATATGCAGCAAATTTCGTACCCCCCCCTTTCCCAATCCCCCCCTTTCGCCCGGCCCGAATGGAGTTGTGGCGAGGGAGCGCCACGCGATGCACCATGGCACAGCCAGCATGACCCAAGAAACCCAGAGCACCCGGGAGGCAAGCAGGGTGCTTCTCGGCATGGGCCTCCACTGCACAGGCAGAGGGAGGGCCACCGAGCCAGCGGGCGCCGCTGTCTGCCCTGGCGCCCCCTTGTGAAGGGGCCCCAGGACACACAAATAAATACACACAAATTATCCCGGCAAAGCAACCTAACAGCGATGTGTAGGAGCATATCTGGAAGCATTCCCCTTAAGATTCAGATGAGAATCCAGTTGTAGAATTGTGCTGTTCTCGCAGTCGTAGTCGCATTCGCGATGACAGTCGCAGTGGCAACGGCAGTCACAGACACAGCCTCAGCCTCAGCCTGCCTCAGCCTCAGCCTCAGCCTGCCTCAGCCTCAGCCTGCCTCAGCCTCAGCCTCAGCCTGCTTCAGCCTCAGCCTCAGTCTGCCTTCAGCCTCGGCCTCAGCCTCAGCCTGCCTCAGCCTCAGCCTGCATCAGCCTCGGCCTCAGCCTCAGCCTGCCTCAGCATCAGCCTGCCTCAGCCTCAGCCTCAGCCTGCCTCAGCATTCAAAATGTGGCCTGGGAGTCTGGGAACTCGAAGAACACGAAGTGGCCTACAGTTGGCTCCGGGCATTCAAATTCATGCCCAGGAATGGAGTTCTGGGAACTCGAAGACCACGAAGTGGCCTACAGTTGGCTCCGGGCATCCAAAATGTGGCCCGGGAATGGAGTTCTGGGAACTCGAAGACCACGAAGTGGCCTACAGTTGGCTCCGGGCATTCAAAATGTGGCCCGGGAATGGAGTTCTGGGGACTCGAAGACCACGAAGTGGCCTACAGTTGGCTCCGGGCATTCAAAATGTGGCCCGGGAATGGAGTTCTGGGAAGTCGAAGACCACGAAGTGGCCTACAGTTGGCTCCGGGCATTCAAAATGTGGCCCGGGAATGGAGTTCTGGGGAATCGAAGACCACGAAGTGGCCTACAGTTGGCTCCGGGCATCCAAAATGTGGCCCGGGAATGGAGTTCTGGGAACTCGAAGAGCACGAAGTGGCCTACAGTTGGCTCCGGGCATCCAAAATGTGGCCCGGGAATGGAGTTCTGGGAAATCGAAAAGCACGAAGTGGCCTACAGTTGGCTCCGGGCATTCAGAATGTGGCCCGGGGAAGGGAGTTCTGGAGGTCGAGAGGAGCACGAAGTGTGTGATGTATGCGAAAAACGATACCCCGCCGGCAGACCCCAACACCTCCCCAACGGCTGCCCAGACCCCCCTGTGGAGTAATGTGCTGCTCTCTTTTTACACCACTAGAAACCTATCAGTCTTCGCTGTTAGGTAATAAAAAGATTCCCCGTATTTTCCTATATTTTCTGGGTTTCTGTCTTCCCCCCCACTGCCCAGATGTTCCCATATTTTCTGGGGAATCGACGATTAATTGTGTCTGTGTGTTGCTTTCCCTCCTGACCCTTGGCGGGGCCGCGGACAGCGATGGGGGGGTCGAGGAGACAGCGCCCGGCGGCCGAGCCAAAGCCGGCTGCACGCCGCAAGCTGCGTACCCCCCCCTTCCAGAGCAGAGCCGGATCGAGTCGCGAGATCGGATCGGGTCGGAAACGGACGGGATCGCCAGCGAATGGTCCAGAACCGAATCAAAATCGTATCGCCGCGCCTGGCTCGGGCTGGCCTCGATCGATGCCAGTGCACATGCGCGAAGCGAA